GCAATCATAACCTCTCGGGGAGACGAAACGGCACGTTAAATCGGCGGCTCTGTACCCGACTTCGAGAAGATTCTCCCGCTTTGGACCACCGTTTTTTGAAAATTCAAAATTCAAAATTCAAATTTCAAATATTTTGGGTTGGCGCTGGTTTTCCGAGACGATTTCCCCGCCGAAAAGCGACTGGGCTGTTCAAATTCCAAGAAATGATCGCATGTGCTTCCCGCCCCTGATGGTCCCCACAGGACCGGGAATCGGAGGACTCCTTGATGGGTAATAACCCAAGCATACCACCCGGTTGGTTCACCGAACAGCACGCGTCTTTTTCAGCTCGGGTTATTTGACCGGTTGGATGAGGAGACCAGATGCCAATACCCGAAGATTTACTCAAGTGTACCTGGTGGGCCGGCCAGCTGCCTGACCGGTTGAATAATCAGAGACGTGCTTGACGTGCTTAGGATTATTATAAATACCCTTAAAAGCCTCATTTGTGAGGCATGTTTTAATTAACCTACACGGCTTGTATTTGTAATAACTCCTATTATCGTTAATAACAAACCGGGTTACAGGTGATTCCACCTACAACCTTTCCGATTACTCACACTTAATTTTTGCGTGGTAATTTACACCATCAGGAGGAGGGAGGAAATTTATTAATTACTCCTATTTTGAATATATAAGTTAGAGACTCCTATTTTGAGAATATGTCTCATGATTTACTCTTATTTAAGAGGTTTTCTTTATTTTCAATGCTACTCTCTCCGTCCCAAAATATTTGTCACACTTGTTTTTTCAGCAGTCGCGGAAACTTTTGTTTATTTTTACGTTTTCATTGGTTATTTGATAAAATAAAATATTTTTGGCACCTCTTTTTCGAAGAATTTTTTATATAGTTTTTTGATATGTAAAATTTATTTTTTATTTCTATGCCAATATGTAAATAAAATAAATTGAAAAAACTTGATATTTTACCTCGATAATAGAAATATAACAAATATTTAAAAACGAAGGGAGTAGTTTTTTTCTACTAATATTTTCAATACTATTTCAAGAAATTTATATTTCCAATATCGGTTACCCTGGATCGCGGAAAAAAGCAGCGGAAGAACCGGAGCATGGGCCCACGAGCCCACAATATAATTCCAACTGAAATCCACGTCATTCGAATATTCCAGTCCCACTCTGCCCTACAGAAATCCATCACAGCCCCACCCTATATATATTCTCCTCTTTCACACTGTACCTCCCTCGCCTCCGCCAACCGAAACGGCGGCGCAGCGATGTCGGAACGCCGTGCTCCGCCCACTCTACTCAAGCACAAATCGTGGTCTCCCGACATGTACCGGGAGGAGGCGTGGGCCAGACGGAAGGGGAACAATCGGCGGCGCGGCCGAACCAAGAGCGTCACCGACGACGACCTAGACGAGCTCCGCGGCTGCATCGATCTGGGCTTCGTCTTCGACCCGGATTCGACCGATCTGGATCCGAATCTCGCGAAGACCTTCCCCGCGCTGGATCTCTTCTGCGCCGTGAACAGGAAGTACAGCGAGTGCTTGTCGAGATCTTCGTCGACGTCCACCCTCGCCTCGGATTCCGATACGGCGGCGTTCTCCGGGAGTCCGTCACCGAGTCCGGTCATCGATTTAGGTAATCGAAACAATCGATTCTGCACAGTTTCAGGGGCAATTGTTTGTTTTTATTGCGAATTTTAAAATTAATTTAATTTTATTTGGGTTCGTGAAGGTGAAGATCCGGCGACGGTGAAGAGCAGATTGAAACAGTGGGCGCAGGTGGTGGCGTGCTCCGTGCGGCAGTCAGCTCCGATTCATTGACCAAAACAATGTTCTTTTGCTGAGATTATACTCCGTATTTTTCAAAATTTAGCAGATTTTCTTCTTGTTTTTTTTGGTTTCTCGTTGAATGTTCAGAAATCAAGTGTATATATATAATGTTCATTGTATTTCTCAATCCATTTTTTTTTCAGTGTTTTTGTTTGAGCAAATTTAGCATACTCCCTCAATTACAAATTAAATATGAGTACTTACACTTCTCAAAATGAAAAAAACTTTATTGTGACATGTAATTGGTGTTGCAAAATTCAAACTTTACACATAGTTATGAAATAAAGAGATTATTATGGACTCACAGTGACTCAAGTCCAACAAGAATGTTGCAAAATTCAAACTATGTCTCGATATTTTTGCGTAATATTTCTTTTTACATGGTTCATTGTTTCATTTTTTTTAAAAAAATTTCATGCACCATTTTGACATTTGGCCCACCCAATTGTTTCAACCTTAATATCATTATGTCTAAATCGATTTATACATTTGAACTGAAAAACTTGATAAAAAAGAGAATTTGTTCAAAGGAAACTCATACTCTCTTTTGGAAGGCAAATATCTCTCCATCGATAATGACCCATAGACAAAGGAATGACACTACAATTGTTGAAAGAAAAAACAATTCACTCCTATAAAAATGTCATCCTCACACTATTTTTTAAAGTGTGTCTGTTGTAAACACACGTGAGTTGAAGATGGCAACTCTATTATTCAGAATTTGTCACGATGCTCCCCTGCCCCCCTGAAGGTTCAAATTGTTTTATCATTTAATTTTAATTTTTATTCTATGAATCAACACATTCAAAACTTAACAAAATGTAACAATTAGACCTTTTCTTTTCATTGTCACGGTTGTCGTTCGCTACAAGACTACAACATTAGCTAGTTAACACTAACCACGTGCAGAACATTAGAGTAACGAAATATTAACAAGTTAAGAATTGCCTCTATTCTAAGTGCTAGTTATATACAGTAAAGAGTAATTTCTTAAATAGTTCCTAATTACTCCGTATATGTGATTTTCCATATTTAGTCTCAATTTCAAAATGATATATAAATGGTTCTCAATTTTTAATAACTATTTCTAAATAGTTTGTTTAGGCCAAATAAGACAAAATATTTTTTCCACAAATAGTCCTATGATTAAAGATCATTTATATAAAATATCAGAATGGATGACTAAAAATGGAAAATTTCATATATTTAGCCATTTAGGAACCATTTATATAATTTACTCTATGGTAAGATGTTGTTCTCTTCAACATATTTTTCATACTTATTGCTTATTCTGATCAGATTCAGATTATTTCAGATTAGATTGGATACATTCAGATCGGCTCAGATCAGATCATAATCATTCATATCAGTTCAGATTAGATTATTCAGATCAGTTCACATCAGATCCATTTAGATCAGAAAACTACTTAAAATAGAAAATATTTAAATAATACTAATACTTAAAATAATAACAATAATAATAATTATCAATAATAATAATAATGTTAATAATTATTAATAGTAATTAGTAATAAAAATAATAATTAAAATTACAATGATTAAATCCAAAACAATAATTATGATAATAATTTTTTAACGAATAATAAGTAATAATAATGATAATAACAATTCATAATAATATTTATTTGTAAATATAATACGGAGTAATTCATAATTTTAATCATTAATCATAATACTTAATAATAATAATATAATAAGTACAATAATTAAAATAATACAGAGTAAAAATTAATAATTACAATAATCACTAATAACGAAAATTATAATTTTAATATTATTAATAAAAATTACAAAAAATTAATATTATTAAATAAAATTACTAAAATAATTATCATTATTGTTACTATTATAATAATTAATTATAATTAATAAAGATAATCATCATCATTATTTACAACACTTAATAATAAAAATAATAATGATGATGATGATGATGATAATAAATATAATTATTAAAAAAAGTATACTAATAATAATTAATAATTATAATTATTAATAATAAAAATTATTATTTTAATATTATTAATAAATATTATTAAATTAATTAGTAATAAATTATTTTTATTATTATCATACATTTTGATTTATAATGTTAATCATCATTAATAATCATAACACTAAATATTAGTAAATATAATAATAACTAGTTATAATAGTATTAATAAGTATAACTATTGAACTTATAATGATAATGATGATGATGATGATAAGTAAAATAATAATTATTAATTATAAAAATTATTATTGTATTATATTAATAATAATTATTAATAATTAATGATTAATTCAATGATTATAATACTAATTTGAATTTGAAATAATTTTATTCAGATCAGATCAAATCTATTCGAAGCTGATCAGATCAGATTCATTCAGATAGATCAGATGAGCCTTAAAAAGTTCAATTCAGATCGGATCAGATCTACTGAGAAAATAGCGTTAATCTCTCACTAGTTTCTATTCAAAATAATAATTGAATCAATCATTTCTACTTGTATTTGTCATGTATGAGTGTAAAAAAGATAGATAGTATAAAAGTAAGGTAAAAAACTATTTTAGTTGTAAAAAATGAAAAATCTATCCATATAAGTAAGAGTAAAGAAAGATATTAGACAATCAAAACAATCATGAAAAATAATAATACGATGGACAGAGTATACTTTTTTGACATGTGCCAGACACTTTGTAGCTTGAGATTTTTTTATATCGTAGCTTAGAACAAGTTGAGATCAACAAACGAGCGGTTAGTAGAAACGCTACAGAAATGAACACGTATATATAGTGATAAAATGGGATTCGATTTACCGGTGAACGTTGCACAGTTGGTAAAGACAAATTAAAGAATACCAAAGGAGCGTACACAAGTTCTATTTCTGACAACTGCATTGAAAGACAACTATACTAATACTCCCTCCGTCCCACTGTCTTTGTCTACTTACCTTGTGGTACACCATTCAATGCACTTCTTTAATCCATTTTATCTTCTAATTTGTATATTAAAAAATTACACAAATTATATATTAATAATCTATATGTTAAGACGAATCAAACAAGATCACACATGACTATTTTTAGGCTTACACATTAAGAGAATTTAATGAGTCAAAGTGCTTAAATAAACAGTTCCAAAAATCAAAAGTGGACAAAGACAATGGGACGGAGGTAGTATGTGATTTCTACAAATACCATGTGTAGTCTACATTAGTACTTGTCATAAATTTGCAATAAAAATCTACTCTCAGTGATCATCCGATGTGATCCGACGCGACATGACGGGATCCTCGAGAATGAGCCTATTCTTTAGAACTCGAATCGATTGAACTTCGTACGGAGTATGTATATTGTGAAAAGATCTGGGGAGCGTGGCGCCACGTTACTACAGTGCTCTACCAGAAAGCAAACCATATCTCCCCGAAATAAAAATATCTGCGAACAGTGAAGCGAAGATATTTTCCCGCTTACTTTTGTCACGAGTAAAAGCCATAGCCAGGTGGAAAGTTTTCGCCGACTTTCCCCAATTACCCCTCATCCCCTTCCTCCGAACCTGCAAAAAGAAGGGAAAGATCCACTCAAATTCCCTAAATCTCGATCGGATTTTCATCCATATTACTCCATTTCCCGAGTTTCGTTTATTTTCTTCGTCTAATCTCTACCGGTCCAGACCGCCGATGGACGGAATCGGCCGGACGGCGCCATTGCAGCCTTCGGGAAACCCGGTATCTCCCTTTAGTTTCAGTAACGAGTCGGCTCGCTCCGGGTCTTCCCTCGCCGCCAGCGGCAACCCAGAAGAAATCTTGCACCTGAGTGTCAATGGAGGACCGGTAAATGCTTTTCTCTTATTTATGTTCAATGAGTAATTGTATTCAATTGCTTAGGTATGTCCTTAAAAGAATTTCTAAATGTGTTGATTGAATCTAACTTGACTCGCATATATAGATCCTAGAAATCAAGTCTTCAAATGGCACATCTATAGAAGCATTAACAATCTGTGTAGATTGGGTGACATTCTTGCAATCAGACTAAGTTATTACGGAGTATTTTTTTACATGTTCTCTCTCAAGTTCATTTTTTTTATCATAGGGTCTATGGGAGGGAAATGATTTCATGTTTATTTTGCCATGAAAGGATTTCATGTAGCTGTATAGAATTCAAAGAAGAAACGATAAACTAAAAAATTCAACTTGCACCCTCAAAAGGTACATAAAAGATAAAATGCACCCCCACAATTGTTAAATGTTGTATCGCACCCTTAAAAAAATTACTCTCTCTCATTTCACCTCTGGAGGCCATTTCCGCCCGGAAGAAACAAAGGGTAAAAATGTAAAATTGTTTTGCCGCCGCCGTTTGATTCTCTTGCGTTGAGGATCTGGCGAACTAGTGTTCTTCATTGTTTGTTTCTCAGTTTCATCGTGTGTTCTACTACTTTGCTCTTCGCGAATTTGGTGTTGTTTGGTAATTTGGTTTTGATGTTGATTTGTTCGGTTTCAATCCCTCCGTTAAATTTTTAATGCTTCGTGAAAGCAATTCACACACCTCAAAACCAGATTTCTCCAAATGAATTATCCATCTTCTTCGCCATTTGTAATTATCGCTATCTCCAGAAGCATTTCCATTAATCAGGTGCATTCAACAAAACTCAAATGGAGCACTTTTTTTATCTATTTGAGAATTGTTTCTTCTTCTACGGACAACTTTGAAGGTGGGGAATTAGGTGCTCAAACCCTGCAATTTTATTTTAAGAGTAAGCGGACGACTTTACGCTTTGTTTCTTCAAAAGAAAAGAATAAAATTGAGGTTCAAGAGTTAAAAAAAGAGAAAGAAAACTTTTTGAGGGTGCATTATAACATTTCACAACTCTGAGGGTGCAAAATGATTTTTACCCTATTGGGTAGAGATGGTATATATTCTTGTCTTGGTGTGCAGTGTCACTAGGTTTCCTCGTAGAGCATCTTGCCCAATGGTTTGCTTAAGGTGTAGATTGTGAGTTATAGTTATAGCGCCTGTCTTATTATCTCCGCTGCAGTTTTGAATACAATTCAACATTCTCCCTTCTTTCCATGCTTTATATTTATGTCGGGTTATCACATTGCATCCAAGCCATTTGTCAATCTTTCAGGATTAGATTTTCCATTAGCTAGCAGTTAGATATCGTATGATAAATTGCTGTAGTTGTTAACACTGCAATTCTACTTCTAGTCAAATATGCTAAGCACATTTCTAAAGGTTACCTATGACTCCAATTATGCAAATATTCAAAAACTGTAATACGTAGTAAGTTTTTTACTCCGTATCTCTCCGATTTTTAGTCAAATACTCGAATATGTGTTGCACATTTAAACAGAGTGGTGAGAGAAGAAGTAGATGATCCCAGATGTGGTCTTTTCATTATTGTATGTTATTTGGCAGCTATTATATGCAAAATTATGCATTTAGAGTGGTGGCCGATCATTCATTACAGGTTTCCTTGTTAGATTTCACTTCTATATAAGCATTAGAGCTGTTAGACATGTTCAGTCTTCATCAACAAACACATCATTGCTTACTCACTGTTAGCATTTGTCTTATTGAGAATGTTCCATTTTCATGACAATCATAGATGTATGAAGCACGGATGCAATAATATTGTCTTTGTGACTAAATTATATGAGTATTTGTATATGGAAGGAGAGAATGGATGTATGCATGCAGCTCATTGACTGTTCTTTTCTTTGAGACATTGTGTCTAATCTTCATGTGCCACTTATGGTGTCTTTGAAAATAGATGCAGGTTAACATGAATCTTCCTTCCCATTATGTAGGTTGTAGAATTTGAGTGATTTGTTAAATAAATTGACAAAATCATTTTATGAGTTCTTTATTTTTTTTACTATATCTCCTTCCTTCATAATGAAGAAAACAATAGTAACCTTTTTAAACAATTCAGAATTTAACATTTATTTAGCGTTCATTAAATCCTTTTTCAGAAGTGTACTTAATCTTTGTGACATTTTGTTGCCACTTCAGGATGAGTCTAGCAGGTGGACGGATGAGAAACATGATATATTTCTAAGTCTGTTAGAAGCATCATTTGTTAAACAGATGCACAAGCCAATGACCACCGAGCCCAGGTTCCAAGATCATGCTAAAGCAAAGACAAATATGTCCCAGAAACTGTGTACGAACAAGTGTAGAGCTTACAACCAGGTGGGACCCTTAATTCATTGAAGTTTCTGTTTTTGTTTTCAGTTAATACAATGAAGAATTATTCAGAAAACCGGTTAGATTTTTGTTTACATTTTTGCATTATGATGACATTAAGTGTATGCTCAGCAGTAAACAAAAGTTAAGCACGTTTCAAATTTAGAAAACAAAATGCCTCTCTTTATTACTATAGAAGTGATTATTTCACGGCAAAAAGAAAACGTGCACTTTCTTGAATTAGCATGACACCCCCCCCCCCCCCAAAAAAAAATCCAGGCTTCTGTTGCACAAGATCCCAGTTGGCACGAGATCAATATAGAAAGGGAATTGGCAAATCATGGTACTGCATCCATTTCTCATGGTTCCTGCAAAGACAAACAGATTTCTCTTTTCAGCCATTCTGGTGAGTACTTTATATTCTTATATATTTCAGTGGGAAGCTCAACTCAACTGTGTACTCTGTACTTCACTTGTTTAAAAAACATATGTATGACATATTAGCTATATGATACTCCCTGAAAAGATCTTCCCAAATGCCTTTTTTGGTCCAGAAAAATCTTTCCATTACCTTTTTAACATTTTAAATACCACAACTACCTCACTTTCTTTATTTATTACGGAGTACATCTCACCCAATACTCGACCCACTTTCATCAAGGGTAATTTGGTAAAGTTTCATCGTTTTAAACTCTCCTTAAAGACCGTAAAAAAGGCTACTTGGGAAGTTCTTTCCCGGACGGAGGGAGTATAAATATCTTTTCCATTGTAACAAAAAGAATATTTTTATGCCGGATGCAGAGGATTTCCAAATTTGATGAACATATTAGATAGTTATAAGACAAATTTTGGATTAACTAAAAGAGGTTGAATAAAGTGGCTTAATATTTTCACAATGTTTCAGGTTTAAGGTTCATGGGTTGAAACAAACCAAAACTGAAACAGGCTATAAGTTACTGAGTATTTGCTTTGGAGATGTAGGACTAGGATAGTAGGATAGTCGTTTGAATCTAGGTCATAGTTTTTGCCTTTTGACGTCGTGTGTTTTATAAGATTGTAGTCTTATTGCTTGCATGCTTGCAGTTGTTTGTGTGCTTTTTTCTACTTGCAAGTTGCACCTTTTTTACCTTTAGTTTTGCTTTCCGCTTTTTTATCTTGGCTATGTGGTTCTGTGGTACTCGAGTTAAGGTCTATTGAAAACAACCTCTCTACTTTCAAGTAGGGGTAAGGTCTCCGTACACACATCCTTCCTAGATCCCACGTTCATGGGATTCTACCGGGTTGTCGCATTGCTGCTTTGATTTTTTTGCATTGCATTCCTCTAATGTTTTTTATTTTTTTCGGGTTTAGATATTCAAGTGCTGGGTTCTGAAGAAGGTTCAGGGCAAAACTTTGTTGATGAAGGTAATGAAGAAAACATTACCAGAGACATGTATGCCCTTGATCATCATCAAGTAAAGATGAAAATACTAAGTCCCTGAAAAATCCAATTTCTCATCATTCCATCCCATACTTGTCTTCTAGCTAGATGGTCCCATCTGAAAATCCAGTAGCTCCTGCTTCTTCTCTTGAGCAGTATGAGAGCTTTGTTGGGCCCTCCATGTATTACTGAGATGTGAAATAGTTTATGAAATCTCTATTTTAAGTTTCATCTTATGCATATATAATTTCTTGTTCAATTCAGTGTCAATATTTACATTTTAGCTCATTCATTTCTCTAATTAGAAATTAGAATCATGAAGCCTTTTCGTGTGTGTGTGTGTGTGTGTGTGTGTGTGTGTGTGTGTGTATAGTTTCATGACTTTCATCTTTCATATACGGTCCTGGGACTAGGCTCAGTGAGTGTGTGTCTAGTTAGAGGTCGCCAAGGTTTCGGTTTGGAACCGGACTCGGAACCTTAGGTTCCACAACTGCTCATGAACGGGGACCGATTGAAATTGACATGAAAGGGTTCTAATCAAGGTTCTTACTTCTCGAGATCTAAATAGAGTTGTAATGAATTGAACAATCTTTATTCGATTTGTAATTGTTTGTGTTTATTCGTATTCCAAAAAAATGAATCTGAATACGAATTGTGCTGTGTGTTTGTTATTTGTTATGTTGACGTGTATGGATACATAAAATTCCTGCTGGGTAACCCTTGTTTTGTCATAAGAACTGCTAGGTAACCTCAATTTTAAAAATATACTCTCAAGTCTATCAAATTATTCAAAAACTTACTAATAAGAGATTTTATCCATCTGTCAATTACCACGTAAGTTTTCTACTTTTCTTCTTCCTTTTCTTCATTGACATCATCATAATTGTCGATGCTTCTCACTGCTTATAAGTTGATCCTACTGTTTATAAGTGAATTTTAATTTATAAGTAAGTTGATGACATGTTTCTGTGTATTTTTCATTAGTCATTTGAGGATATAAAACATCTTTGTATCATGTTTTTTCAAAATTTATAAATTATAAATAAATATATTACCAAAACTAATATTCAATTAAGGATTTAAAAGATTTTAGTATTGTTTTACTCAAGTAGATTCAATAGGTTAATGGGGGCATACAATTTTCTTGGGGGGGGGGGGGGCTTAGCATTTGTTTAAAAATGTACACTAGTAAAACTACTAATTAATGATAATAATAATAATAATAATAATAATAATAATAATAACTCTTATAATAATACAATAACAAGAATAATATGAGTAGTAGTAGTAATAATAATAATAATAGAATAAAACAAAAGGGATGAGGTGGGGAGTGTCAGGATCCGAAGGAGTAGAAGGAGAATTGGATGATGATCTCAATGTGATTATGGTGAAGAAGAAACTAACGGAATAATTGATCCGAGGATGAAAAATTTCATGTTGGGAAGTTTTAGAATAATAGGAGTTATTATCGAGCAGTGTATTTTTAAAATTGAGAGTACCCCACAATTATTATCACAAAAGTGAAAGCATCTAACAATAATTTTTTGTGTATGAGTATATCCATATTTGATTTGGTCCCTAAATGAATATATTTAGAAAGAAAGGTCAAAATTATAAATATTTACAAACTTTCCATCTTCAATACATAAACAATGACTTTATTTTTTTTCCCAATAGCTAATATCAAGCTATTTCTATACAAAGAGTTTTTGGAATACATAGTTTTATATGAATCACATTTTTTTAAAAGAAACAAATTAAATATTTTAAAAGTTTTAACAAACAATTTGTGTTCCTTGTCATGTTACTTTTACTCTTTTAGGCTTTAGCATAATATACCCAACATTTACCTCCTTGGGGCTTTTTGGAAAGAAAATGCTTTTATAAAAACGTGGTCGTATCAGTTTTGCTTATGTCACACTCATAACCGTCCAGAAAGCGCGCCTTCGAGGAAAGCAGACGGATCCGTGTGAACGCTATTGGACTTTGACTAGGCCCAAGAACTTTCAATAAGGATAATGGGCCCACTTTTCGTCCGTTTGACCCATAGGTCACCTGACCGAGACGACAAAAATCAAGAATAACTGAAATCCCCACGTGTGACAAAACGGAACCTCTATTAGATGCCAGCTCACCCCGTGTCTCTCGAGTGTTGACCAGTGAGGTGGCAATCCACGTAGGCATCTCTCCCCCTTAAATATCCGGACCACCTTTGACTTCTCCGTATTTTCCGTCCAAATATTAATTTCCCACACAATAGAAAAGAACTGAAAGAAGGAAAAGGAACAAATCTAGCATGCAGAATCTAGGACTTAGTCCGGCAGAAAGAATCTCCGGGGACCGTTTTCAGCACGCGCCGCCTCGGCTCACCTCTGAGCAGGAGTTCGCCGTCATGGTCTCCGCCTTGAAGAATGTCATCGCCGGAGGAAATTCAGTCGCCGTCCCTCCACCTGAAGGAGGAAATATTTGTTCACTCTCATCTTCTGGGTTCCCGGCGGGGGGACCGCTGCTGAGCTTACCGGAAGGTTACACGTGTCAGTTTTGCGGAATCTCCGGGTGCTTGGGCTGCAACTTCTTCGGGGCGCCGCCGGATGTGGGCGGCAAGAAGAGGAAGAATCCCGCGACGGCGGCGCCGAAGAAGAAGAATTTCAGGGGAGTGAGACAGAGGCCGTGGGGGAAATTTGCAGCGGAGATTCGGGACCCGCGAAAGTCGGCTCGAGTGTGGCTCGGGACGTTCAAGACGGCCGAGGAGGCGGCTCGGGCTTATGACCGAGCCGCCATCGAGTTCAGGGGCCCGCGAGCGAAGCTCAATTATTCCTTCGGCGATTACGTGACCCAACAACATCCATGTCAAGCGCAACTGCAACCGTCGCATCAAGAAAATGTCTTGAATATAATGAACGATAATTTTGAGACGAAGAAAATGAGGGTGGACAATACAAACGAGGATGAAGTGTTAGAATTTGGGGAGGATGAAATAGAAGCATGCTGGAGGATGATTATGATGGAAGAAATAGAATAATCTTAGATAGTTACATGATAGTCCTTAATTAAAATCCAAAATGTACCTTAATTTTGACATTAATTTTAACCTTACTTTCTTACAAACATTGAGAGACACATATTAATATTTGCAAGAAAAGTAGATGAAAATTGGCTCTATATTGGGGTCCCCAAAGCATAACTCTAGTCCTTAATTAGGAAGTTAACTACTTATATTTGTTTTGTCCATTTTCTTTTTATCACATACTCCCTTGGTCACTTGAAGTTTCTTTTTTTCTAGTGCTACAAAATTCTTCCTTTTTATCGCATAGTCTTTTTGTCCATATTAATTTATAATTTATCTATCACATCATATCTTTTTAGTCATAATTTGTCCATCATATCCTACGTTTATCAATTACATCAAGGATTTTTTTAAGAAATTAACACAAAAATATTTCTCTCTTAATTTTTTTTAAAATCAAAATGGAAGGGACTTTAAAGGAGGGAGGGAGTATTTGGGCATGGGAAGAGATAGAAAATAAAAAAAGTTAATTTCTTTGTAAACATCAAAGTTAAATTGAGCTTCTAACATAGTTTTATCAGATCAATAAATTGTGAAGTTTATGTTAATATACTTAATTAAGTGATTCATGTTAAATATAATCAATCGATGTCAAAAATCAAATCCAGAGAATATCATCTTTAAATCATGGTCTAAGGTGAGTTATGCCCCAACACTCTTAAAGAATGACAACTAACAAGAAGTATTTTGCAGTGGAAGGGGGAAGAGGTGTATGTTAGAATATAAAATCTTTTCTGAACTTAGAATTACATATTTGAGTTTTTAGTTGAGTTAATAATTCGACATTGTATCAAAGTAACATTAATTAAAATATCACGATTTTGAATCTCATCGCTACACAGTCTTTTAAAAATTAAATTTTTTTATGCAAGAGTCGAAGCAACCACACCTGCACATGATTTTTCTGGAGCATATAATCGATCACAATCTTGAAATTTTAGTTTACTCTCTCCGTCCCAAATTATTTATCACATTTCTATTATCGAGGTAAAATATCAAGTTTTTTCAATAAATTTTATTTACATATTGGTAAAAAAATAAAAAATAAAAATTACATATAAAAAAACTACATAAAAAGTTCTTTGAAATAAGAGGTGTCAAAAAAATTTTATTTTATCAAATAACCAATGAAAACATAGAAATAAACAAAAGTTTCCGTTAGTATTGAAAAAACAAGTGTGGAAAATAATTTGGGACGGAAGGAGTATTTGATTTCTCGAATTATGGGACGGTAGGGCACGTGTACTACCACCGACCGCAGGTAATCTATAAACAATTTACTACTCCCATGGTCCCATGAAAAAGCTTTGGGTCAAGCTACACTTATACAAATTGTACCCCATTTGTACACCGCAGTTATACACAAACATTTTGATGGTTTACATCGACACAAGTGTTGGTGCGTTAACAAAAATTTACACGGATACAAAGTGTTGGTGCATTAACAAAAATTAGTTTTACACCAACACAAAGTGTTGGTGCAAACCTGCGGGGTACAAATAGCTTTATCCAAAAGCTTTTTGTTTTTTTTTTCACTTGTCCCAAATAAATTCTTTCTTTCCAAAATAAAGTACCAATCTTAACTTAATAAACCAAAACAATCTTTCTTTCTAAGCTTGGGGTATAGTTAAGGCAAATTTGTGGTTCGTCTCTCTTTTCTGAGAGTTTTTGTCGTGGTTGTTTGTATGTTGTGTTTTCCATATCTCTCTGCCTAGCTATTTGTTGTCTCTGGTTTGGAGGAGTGGATCTTTAATGAAAAACTGAGGAAAAGCATGGAGGAGATGCAGAGATATCGCGATAGTCGGGACTCGATCTCGCCATAGATACTTGTATCGTTGTGCTCGGGTTTCGCCACCCGAAACAACGGGTGGAGATACACTGGTTTCGGCACCGGGACCTGAACACCATATTTCCATAGAGCAGCGTCCGATATGAGGAGTAAAAATGGCTTCACGCTACTTAGGGGTGATGATGGGGTTTGGCGTGAGCCAGGGAATGGTCTCCATGCAATGATGTCGCAGTACTTTGAGATAGGGGTAGGCACGAATCGGGGTGTTCGGGTTTTATATCATCCCGGGTCTTGTCTCATTTTTTCAAACTAGACCATAACAAGATTTTCGATTGATTGGCATTATATGCAGACAAAGTGGTTATGTTTAGATCCCCATATGTAGGCGGCACTCCCCAAAGAGGCCTTTTTGGACATGGATATGGGCATGTGCTTAGTGTATAGGGGGTATAAAGGGTATAATTAATTTTACACTATCAAGAGAGTGTTATCCACCTATCCCCCTCCAATTTTTTATAACTACTCCAAACATATATATCTTCTAGATAATATACTTTTGTAATTTTTTTACTATTATTAGAATGGAGAATGTCACTCATTAATAAAGTTACAATATGTAAAAGAAATAGAATTAACTCACAATAAATGAAGAAATGAACAAAGAAGAGGATGAAATTGAAGCAAATTGAGGGAAGAGAGGGAAATGAAAAAAACAAAGGAAAAGGATGAGCAACAGTGACGTGTTGAAATAGGAGATGGGAGTGGTATTTTGCAGTGTTATTACACCCGGGCCGGACTGGTCAAATCGCGACTCGGACACACAACCGATCCGATCCAACCCCCCAAAAACCCGGGAAAAGTCGGAAAAAATTGGGTCGAGCCAGAAAACCCCGCATTGACCCGATCCGTCCTCCCCGTCGGGTTGACCTCTGGTCCGGAAAAACTCAGAAAAAATCAGGTCGACCCGAAAAAACCCGGATTTATCATTTGATATACGCAATCCATTGGAAGGGCATAAAATGAACAGTAAATGATACTCCCTCCGTCCCAAATTATTTGTTACATTTCTATTATCGAGGTAAAATATCAAATTTTTTCAATTCATTTTATTTACATATTGGTAAAAAAATAAAAAATTACATATCAAAAAACTATATGAAAAGTTTTTCGAAATAAGAGGTGTCAAGAATATTTTATTTACCAAATAACCAATCAAAACGTAGAAATAAACAAAAGTTCCCATAATGAAAGATGGTCGGAGCACGTGTGGTGAAGGGGTAGTGGCAGGGCTCAAATTGATGGTGGGGACTGGCGAACGACTAGTTTCCTCGTTCATTTCCTAGCCCTTTTAACGGCATTTTAACCATTTCAACTCATAAGTCAACCATTCAAAAAAATGAGAAAAAGTCTAAATGAGAAATTTTTTTCCGGACGGAGAGAGTATTATACTGATGTTGAAATATTATAACTTTTGATATGACAAGAATAGTGTTGAGGCATACCATTTGTCATGGTGACAATTGGATGAGACTTAAGACTTTGCAAAACTAAAAAAATGAACTTCATTTTCGAAGGTCCCTCAAACCCTTAGCTTTCAGATTATCATTGAAAGAAAATAAATTGAAATTTGATCGTATATTAATACTAAAGAGAAATAAATTGAAATTTGATCCTGTATTAATACTAAAGAGTGGAATATATATACTTGGTACTTACAGAAATCATATACTCAACTCTAATCATTAAGCACAAGTACTCTACAAACAACAAAATAAAACCCAACAAGTGAATTATGCACAAGACCAATATCATTTTTTACATGTCTGAGCCGATTCCAGATTTATATTGGTAATACTCCCTTCATCTGAAATTATTTTTCGCTTGTTGATTGGGCACGCTTGTTAAGAATTAGTAAAAAAGTATCAAATTCCAAAATGCACGTACTATGAATTTTAAGAGCTTATTTTCTTATTAAAAAACAATAAAAAAAGTAGATTAGTTGTAAAATAGAAGGATGTTATTAAAATTTATCCTTAAAAAATAACTAAAAAAGAAAATGAAAAAAATATTTTTAGACGCACCAAAACAAAAAAATGCAAAGAACATTTTGAGACAGAGGAAGTAATTGTTTATTAAGCACTAATTTAAAGGAATATTTTTTAGAAATAACTATTTTATAATTTATTATTATTATTATTATTTGCAAAACTATTTTCAGGCCGACTGATTGGTTTTAAACTTCGAAGTACCGATCACCGAGTATTTTGTTTTTGTTTTATTTTATTACTCTCTCCGTCCCAAATTATTTGCCACATTTACTTTTTCAACAGTCGTGGGAACTTTTGTTAATTTCTACGTTTTCATTGGTTATTTGATAAAATAAAATATTCTTGACTCCTCTTATTTCGAAGAACTTTTCATATAATTTTTTTGATATATAATTTTTATTTTTTTATTTCTTTACCAATATGTAAATAAAATGAATTGAAAAAACTTGATATTTTATCTCGGTAATAGAAATGTGACAAATAATTTGGGACGAAGGGAGTATATAATTTGGGACGAAGGGAGTATGTAACTTTCATACCAACTTTGATGTGTGGCCATTGGAGGATTACAGAAAGGATGATTTTCGCAATTAATGGGCACGCTTTTGGCTGACGTCATCGATGAAGTAATGTACTCCGTCCCACGTGGCAGCAAAAAGATGATGGGCCCGCGTTTCCGTCTAGGCCCACTCCCCACGGGCATGTTATGGTCCGTACTTATCTTCCCTTCTTCTTTGAGAAGCAGTGCTTCTCTTTTGCTTTCAATTTTTTAACATTGTCACAATTGATTTACTTAGGGGCTGTTTGTTTCAACCTTTTAATGGTTCAGATGTCTGAATGGTTTAGTACTTAATGGTTCAGACTGTTTGTTTCAGCCTCTTAATGGTTCATATGTCTGAATGGTTAAGAGATTTGCCTCTGAATGGTTAAGTATTATACATAGTCTGAATGGTTAAGACCTCTTATCTGAATTGATCAGACATTTGCCTCTGAATAGTTAAGCAATATACTAGCTCTTAATGGTTCAGACCTCTTACTGGTTCAGCACTTAATGGTTCAGACCTCTTACTGGTTCAGCACTTACCTATTCAGAAGTTGTCAAACAACCCCTTAAAATATAAAGTACCTGAACAATAAAAATTGAAATAAAATAATAAAAAACTAAAAAAACATGAAATAAAAAATTGACTAACTTAATAATTAAAGTGAACGTTTCATTTAAATTATATAAAGAAGCACATTAAAATTAAAAGATACTTAAATAAAAGTGCGTAAAAAAATAAAATTACATATGAAATATAATAAAGTGCACTTTAAGAATCAAAAAGACCTCCGGTCGTTGCATTTTTCGGCATTTCCAATTCACCTCTTCGATATCTTGTTTTCATCATCATCACAAACGCACACTGTAAGACCAATATTATCAATGCCAGTAATCATTATATTAAAGTCTTCTTGCTCGAGCATTAGCATTCAAGCTCAAGCTTCCCCACACTCGTTTGATGCTTAAGTCAAAACCTCTCGACCAGCAACCATGGGCGGTTCTAGGTGGAAGTAATGGGGGCAATTGCTCCCAATGAATTTTAAAGATTTCTTAATATTACCCTAATTTAAAAAAATAGTTATGCCTCAAAAAAAATGAAATACCTCCAATAAAAAAATTTAAATTTTAAGTAGAAAATTAAATATCTAACATTAAAATAAAAGTATTTAAAGTTAATCATTTAAAACTACATGGGTATAATTTAAAAATAAAATTTACTAAAGTAAAATTATAAGAAGTACTTTCGAGGTTTTTCACTAATTGTTTGAATACTTCATTAAGTCGAAATCAATTTTCTTTTTGTAATTTCACATTTCAATTTTGTAAAAAAAAGAAATCCAGAGCCATTGCCTCGAGCTCCTTTCTTGATCTCGACCCAAGTCCGGGATTCGCCATTGCCTGCAATTTAGTAAAGATGAACAAGATAGTGGTGAGATAAAATAAGATGTATGTGTGAAAATATATGACGAAAAAATATGTACTCTCTGTTCCTTAAAACTTTTTCGCCCTAAATTTTTTTGCACCTCATAAACGCTTTTACTCTCACCTAAAATATCTAAAATATACCCCGCTATGTAGTTTATTGCGGGTAGAAGTTGTTTTAGGGATATTTTAGACATTTTATGTGGGATAGAAGTATTTTATAGGCTGCGCAAAAAATTAAAACGAAGTGTTTTGTGGAACGGAGGGAGTACATAATTTGACTGTGTAAATAGCAATATAAAAAAGTTTAACAAAATGGAGGGAGTAATTTAAGAGAGTAATACTACGAATAATGAAAGGTTTCAATTAGTTTTAATATTTTAAATATTTTTTATTAATGCAGATTAACTTCGAAAATACTACAATACTACAGAAGAAAGCTCAAATTGTTGTCAAGTAGATCCAAATGTGTTTGAGAGGAATACTCCCTCCATTTCATAAATATTTGCCCAATTCGGATTATGATGGTTCAACCGATTGATTTTAAGTTTACTGTGTATAAAAATTTATAAGAAATTAAAAAATAAATTTATATACTTTGGATATTTAAAAGTTACTTTAATAGTATATTCTACATAATAATAAGACGTGACACTGAGATCGTCTCATTACATGTTATGAGGTTTGACCAACTTTATTTTCAATTCAATTTATTTGGTTATAGTGGTAAAACTTAGAAATAAAATTTATAGAGTAGAAAATTACAGGAAAAGTTTTTCACAACTAGAGGTGACAAAACTATATCATTTTATAAAATGAGTAGTAGTAAAAATAAGCAAACAAAGTGAGTTAAGTTTGACCATGTAAATAGTATCTGGAAAGATTTATGACTGATGGAGGTAGTACTATTTTATTAAATAAGTATCAAAAAATAAAGTAAAGAAATTTATTAGATTAACTTTAAACCTAGTAAATCTTTGTGGATTGAGGGACAAAGAATTAAAAAGTAGAAAAAAGTTAAATAGAATTATACATTTTTTTGATTAATTTAATATATTAGTAGTAATGGTTCGAATCAGTGTTCTGCATTTCTCTTTTTTGAAAATTCATCCCATTTTACTTCGAAAATGAAATGATTCATGACATAGATGCGTTTGTTGAGTTTTAGAGTTATGATATTATATACATCTTGAAAACTGAGAAAATACCATGTGTTCTGAAATATGAAATGAAGTTTTTAAAAAAGGATTTGAAATCATTATTTAATTAGTGAAAATTGATAAATAAAGATGATTGACAGTGACAATGGTTGCCAATGACGGATATGATCGACATCTAAATAAGATATCCAATTCCCATATCGATATCCATTTGAAGAATTTTGATTATAGGAATATGAATTTAAATTATTTTGTTGCATTTCCAAAAATTATTTAAGAATTTTGATATTGAGAGATATCAAAACCTATAACTCTCATGCTCAGTAAACAAATCCATAATCCATTACTTCTTCCGTTTCAATTTAAATTACACGTTTCAGTTGAAAATGTTTTACTGTAGTTATCTTCAATGCAATTTATTAGAGAATTGGAGTGTAACAAAAAAATATATATTAAAATATTACCATATCAAAAGTATTAGGAAACAAGAGATGATGTTGCTATATTATTTTTATCAGATTAGTACTGAAAATATGAAAAAAGGGATCAAATTGCACCAGTACCTCATGTGGTTTGGAAAATAGATACCAATACCTCCATATTTTGAAAACTTATTTCGAAAGTCTCATTGGTTTCAAAATGTTGCACTCATACCTCTCTGATCATTTTCCATCCATTTGGCGAAAAAAGAGGCATGAGTGCCTATTTTCCAAACCACAATGGGCACTATTGCTCATTTCTTATTTTTGTCATTTTTCCTTTTTTCTTTACTTGTTTCATTTATTTATCAATGTTTTTTAACTTTATTTTATATTTTTTATAATGTTTTTAAAATCTTAAATTTATTTTGTTTGAAAAAGAATTAACATATATTGCATCAATACATCTCAAATTATTCATTTTTTTCTGAAATAAAAAAGTAAAAACTTTTTTTGAGAACTACAAATAAGGAATAAAATAAGAAATAAAATAAAATAAAAAAGTAAAAGAAATATTCTTTTTGGACAACCCAATCCTAAAGATTTTTTAGGCATTTTGAAAATTCCTTTTCTTATAAGACTCATTTTTACATGTTTCAATCTTTTTCATATCATTTTTGCATATTTTTATTTTTTGTTCTAGATTTTCTATCTGAACTTACCAAAAAATCTATTCTAAAAACAAAAGGTGAAAATATTTAATTTAAGATAGATGGAGTATGTGTTAATTTTTATTTCAAACTCAAAGAAATTTGATTTTGTTATACACTATATAAAATTGAAGAGAAAATTAAAAAACTTTTCTAGGAAAAGGAAACAAAGAGATAAAAAAGGTAAAAAAGAGAAAAACCCAAATAATAAACAAGAATAACAAATGAGTACGAGTGACCATTATGGTTTAGAAATTAAGCATCGATGCTCCTTCTTCACAGGAAAAAGACCAGAAAATGACACGAGTATACATGCAACATTTTGAAACCAAGAAAATAAATTTTGATCATTTTAATCATTTTTTCAAAATTCACAAAAACAGAGTAAGTTTCAGATTTATGTTTTAGGGGATAAATCCAGGTAAAATTGCTGAAATCATCAACAAAAGAGATATAAAATCGAAAACCGCTACAGGAAGGAACAGAGGTGGGACCCCAAACATCAGAATGTATTAATTGAAAGGGCGCTGTGGCCTTATGTTCAGACAATTCAAAAGGTAAACGACAGGACTTAGAGACATAACATGATTCACAATGTAAAGGCTCTGAAAACTGAAAACCTAAGGAAGATAAAATAGATTTGGCAATCGCAGGAGCTGGATGACCGAGTGTACGATGCCAAGTGGACTCTTGGATAGCTTGATACGCAACGGTTGGGAGTTTGGAAGGAAGTGTGTATAACCCATGCTCACAGAGGCCCTTGTACCGCACCTGGTTGGTAGGATTGTCCACTATCTGGAAATCGTTGGCATTGAAAACAAGAGTGCAGTTGCTATCTTTGGTAAATCGATGGACAGACAATAGATTGGAGGTAAGGGAAGGGACATAATGAAGAGTAGAAAGGTGGTATTTACCATTAGGAGTATGGACAAAACCTGAGCCAGAGTGTGTGATGGGTAGGGATTGACCATTGCCTACGGTAATAGCATCAGTACCGGTGTATTGATGAGGAAATTGTAGCTGAGAATAATCAGATGTGACATGGGTGTTGGCACCAGTGTCCAGATACCAGTTTCCAGAATGATTACTCGTAGATGCATGCGTTGCACGGGGAGCACTAGAGGAGGAGTTTGCAGTATAAGAATCATCAAATCGATACCAGCACGCAGACGCAGAGTGACCTCGTTTCTCGCAGATTTGGCAGGTTGGCAGATCCCGTGACGGTCGACCGTTTCCCTGGGACGGTCGACCGTTGTTCCTTTCTCCACGTCCGCTGTTGTATCCACGTCCAGGTGACGGTCGACCGCGATAGCCTCCTCTACCGCGACCTCGACCGTTCGTAGCGAGAAGTGTTGTGCGAGGTTCGGTGATGGTAGACTCNGTGAGGCTGAGTTTATTCTCCATCTCCAGGTTTATTTCTTCGGAGATCAGCCATCCAGAAAGCTGATTTAACGAAATATTGGTATTGTTCATGCGAATGTTTTGCTTAAAGGATGAGTATTCGGTGGGAAGACCACGAATAACAGCATTCACCACATCACGTTCAGGGATCTCTTCTTTCAAGGCATCGAGATCCGAGAGAATAGTTGCCACATCATCAAGGTATTGTGTCATAGTTTTGGTACCTTTACGAAGAGTGTGGAGTTTGTCCCGAAGCTGATAAACATGAGCGGTGGACACGGAGTTGTACCGTGCGGCCAAAGCATCCCAGAGGGCAGCAGATGTGGTGAAGCCGCGAGCATGTTTGTGAACGGAGGGGCTGATGACCGCTAGGAGGCAGGCGCGGATCTGTGTGTCAACGATGGTCCAGGAGGTATACTCTGGATTAGGGACGGTTTTATCGTTTTTGGAGATAGTTGGCGCCGGGGCTGCTTCATGACCATCAATCCATCCAAGGAGGAGATTAGCTGAAAGAGCTGTCTGGACATTAAGAGACCATGCCGGATAATTTGTTTCGGTGAGTTTTTCTGGGATTAAGTTACGGAGACTCCGAAGCAAAAGTTTTACTCCGGAGGGTAAGGACGCCAAAGGATCCGACGGGGCTGCCATGGTGGGCGGCGGTCGGAAAAAAGAGAGGCTAGGTTTTTGAGAGCCTTAGCTCCGATACCATGATACAATTTGATAATAACTTGTCTTATTGAATATTGAGAGATATGACCCTATATATAGGGAATACAAGAGTAATCAAAGTACAAGTAGGAAAGGAAAGAATAATCCTAGTAGAAAAGGAAAGAAGTGTCCTAATTTAATTATACTTCCTAATACAAACCACAGAGCGAAGTTATGTAGCCTGAAAAAGTACATAAAATTTAATCTTGTGACTACTCTCTTCTCCCTAAATATTTGTCACACTTGTAATTCCGAGGCAAAATATCAAGTTTTTTAAATTCATTTTATTTACATATTAGTATATAAATAAAAAATAAATTTTACATAAAAAAACAACATGAAAAGTTTTTCGAAATAAGAGGTGTCAAGAATATTTTATTTTATCAAATAACCAATAAAAACGTAGAAATTAAAAAAAGTTTTTGAGACTGCTAAAAGAGTATGATGATTTGATGATTGATTTGATTCTCCGTACAAGGTATCATTTAAGTCGGAATACACAATGAGTAACCGAACACGAAACCGCACTTTTCTGTTTTAGGTGCCAGTTCCCCGCGACTCTCGGCGAGTGTTGACCAATCGAGACAAATAGTGCCACGTAGGCACCCTCTTCTTTAAATATGCTCCCGACCTTTGACTTCTCCACTCCAATTCTCCAGATTTTATTTGCAGACAACATAAACAATACGAAAAAAAGAAGTCTCGGCAATGCAGAATCTAATGGCGAGGCGACTCGATCAGGGAATCTCCGGCGAACAAAATCAGCACGCGCCGCCGCCGCCGCTCACCTTCGAGCAGGAGTGCGCCGTCATGGTCTCCGCCTTGAAGAATGTCATCATCAACGGAAATTACAGCATTTGTTTATCGTCTTCATTATTATCTCCTCTGGCGTTCTCCGCCGCCGGAGAAACAGAGACCCCTCCTCCGGCAGGGGAACTGCTGCTGAGCATACCGGAAGGCTACACGTGTGGGGTTTGCATAATATCCGGCTGCTTGGGCTGCAACTTCTTCGGAGAGCCAAGTCACAGTTCCCCGAAGAAGAAAATGAAGATGGAGAAGAAGAAGAAGAGTTTCAGGGGAGTGAGACAGAGGCCGCGGGGGAAGTGGGTGGCAGAGATATGGGACCCGCGAAGGTTGGGTAAAGTGTGGCTCGGAACATTCAAGACCGCGGAGGAGGCTGCTCGAGCTTACGATCGAGCAGCCATCGAGTTCCGGGTCCCACAGGCCAAGCTCAACTATGCGTTCACGGATTATATGACGACAAGCTCCCATCTAGTCCAGCCGGCGCAGTCATCGCGTCAAGAAAACAATAACAATGCGGCGAATATGGAGGTGGGGAAGAGTGCAAATGAAGAAGAAGATGAAGTGTTTGAGTTGGGGGAGGAAGAAATGAAAGAATGCTTGAGGACAATGGCTCTTCTTAGCTAGTAGCTAGTCCTTAATTACAAATAAATTATTCCATACGTATGTGATGGATTTTTGCTATTTCGGGACACCTACCCGATGAACTCGGCATGGTATTCATATAAAATCTGAGAATTAAATTATGAATCTAATAAATAAAATATTTTTAAGTAAAACCGGCCAACCAAATCAGAAAAAAATAATCGGACTTTTAGGGAATACCTTTTAGGTCAGGTATTGACGACCATTATGACAAAACTCAACAAAACTTGATAGAGTATAAAGAAGTAAGATGTGAAATGATAAATATATGTGTGATATGATATGTTTGAACGATATGAATAGAGAGCGAAAGTGTGAAGAATTGCTTTGATTGGTTGAGGTGAAGCTCTCATAAAACAGATGGTCTTTGAAACAAGGAAAGTGTGAAATTGAGTCTTTGAATTCTGAAACTCACTCTCAAGACTCCCAACTTCATTCATCCAATAAAAATCAGACACGTGTGAACAATAAATTTAGTTATAATTATTTTGTAATAAAAAATCACTTCTCCCAACTGTAAAAAAACTCATATATCAATTATGTCTACTTATATAATTTTTTATACTTTTTAATCTATGCAATTTTATATTTTATTTTTTAGAAACAAAACACATTCATTTATGAAATTTTATTTGGAGTATTTTAATTTCTTTGGGAACGGAACACACAAACACAACGAGTAAATGTCATGCCATTTTAGGGGAAAATGCACCACAGCCCCCTATGCTTTCAAAAAAGAGCTCCAACACCCCTCGTGATTTTAAAAGTAACTTATAATATACCTCTGGTTTGAGAAGGGTGCACATGCACCCCATCTGATGAGAAATGACTGTTATTCGATATGCACCTCATTAGTGTAGTGCCACCGTGGATAATTTGATTCCTAATGTTTTTTCAATCCAAACCTACATAAACGCATATTTGGACATCATAATGCTGCTTCCCGATGTGGCCGGATGGCCTACTCCAGGATACGAGACAGTGACACCAACTGCACGAGCAAGGACACCAACCGATCGATTTACAAGAACGTGTTATCCGAATAACATGGACTACCGACCACTGCACGACAACGTCGCAATATAATGAACAATAACAATATCATGGATTTCAATTATGTCTAAGTTTATGTTTTATGAATTTTACAAAATAAATTAGTTATGGCATGTGTTTTGTAACCTTATTTTTATGAATGAATAAATTATATGTACTCTATCAATAAATCTGTTGTGATTTACTTATTATTTTAATTTTGGTGTATGGTGCATTATTGAAAGTCAATAAATAATTATTTTATTTATTAATTTTATTATTAGTAGATTGTTTGTTTCATTATCTGTGATTTAATTTGCTGGTTTTTAAAATATTTTTTTGTTATTCAATTATGAGAAATAAAGAAAAAAAATTGATTTAAAAAAAAATAGTGGAACGAAGTTGAGAAATTAAGAAAAAAATTGATTTAAAAAAAATCGTGGGACGGAGTTGGCTACTCCGTTTCCTTAATTAATTATTCGAAACATAAACTAGGATTTATTATTTAATGAAACGAAGTAGCCAAATTCGTTCCGAATAATTAATTAAGGAAACGGAGTAGCCAACTCCGTCCCACTATTGTTTTTTTAAATCAATTTTTTTCTTAATTTCTCAACTTCATTCCTCTATTATTTTTTAAAAATTTTTTTTCTTTATTTCTCATAATTGAATAACAAAAAAATATTATAAAAACCAGCAAATTAATTACATATAATGAAACAAACAATCTACTAATAATAAAATTCATAGATAAAATAATTATTTATTGACTTTAAACAATGCACCATACAACGAAATTAAAATAAGAGGTAAATCACAACAAATTTATTGATAGAGTACACATAATTTATTCATTCATAAAAATAAGGTTACAAAACATACACATGCTATAACTAATTTATTTTGTGAAATTCGGAAAACATAAACTTAGACATAATTGAAATCCATGATATGGCTATTGTTCATTGTGACGTCGCCGTGGTCGGTAGTCCATGTTATTCAGATAGCGAGTTCTTGTAGGTCGATCGGTTTGTGTCCTTGCTCGTGCAATTGTTGTCACTATCTCGTATTCTGGAGTAGGCCATTCGGCCTCATTGGGAAGCAACATTATGATGTTCGAATAGGCGTTGATGTAGGATTGGATTGAGAAAACATTAAGAATCAAATGATCCACAGTGACACTACACTGATGAGTGCATATCGAATAACAGCCAATTCTCATCAGATGGGGTCCATGTGCACCCTTTACAAACCAGAAGTATATTATAAGTTACTTTTAAAACCACGAAGGGTGTTGGAACTCCTTTTTGAAACCATAGGGGTTTGTGGTGCATTTTCCCCTACCATTTTACATCATTTCAATTATGTGTACTTTTCTACTCCTTAAATTTAATTTATTGCATTTTAAATGGTTTTATATTTTATGTGTATTTACTTAAATGATTTTAATGTAATGCATTTCTTTTATATTATGTATGTTAATTTTATATAATTTTCTCTATAACTTTATGTTGTTGAATTTATTGATGGTTAATTATATTTATAAGAAAAATTTGGTGTAAAAGATAGTGTATAAAACAATTATATATTTGATAACAAATTAAATAGAAATAAAAACAAATAGAATAAGATAGTGGAATACTGATGTAACAAAGTCTAAAAGAGTCTGAGGATTGCGGTAGTTTTCTCTGAAAATCTGAAGAAGAGTTTGAAATATTTAAATGCCGATGTGACAAAGTCTAAAACAGCATGAGGACTCTTTGCACCAGGGATGCCCTAAGACATGACTTATGCGGAGAACGAGTGTAGTTGGAAGATTGGTAGATAATGCTCAAGATTTATGTCATGTTCTCTTCAACTTATTCTTATTGCTTATTATTTATTAGAATCATATCAATTAAGACCAGATCAAACCAAATCAGATCAGAAAGACCTTTAAATATAAATACATTTAGATTAGATCAGACCAGATCAAAATTAATAATTCTAACCAGATCAAAATCATTCAAATCAGGTGAAGAGTGTTGGTCATGTGTCCATGTCCTACAAAGAGAATATGGCTCAAGTGTATGTTCATTTTTAATGGAAAAGTAAATTTTTAACTTTTTCATACTCTTTTCCGTTTGTTACCCTTTCTGATTTCTTTCAATTTTTTCCAGTTGATTTCAACAACGAATAAAAAAGTATTTATATATGATAGGTATTGAATAATATCATATATCCAAATTTATAACATCTACCACACGTAAAACGCGGAGAAAGATGAAACCTGTATAATCCAAAATTAATTTTCTTACATATTTTTTCATGTGATTATTTAATTGAGTAATTTTTAAACACTTTTTCTAACATTTTTCAACTCTTAGTTTCTTTCAAATTTTTATATGACCTTGTTCCCAGTCACGTTTTTTTTCTTGGATCTGTCACTGGGTGCCGTCACTACTGTTCGTGGAGTCGTTGTTGGTCGTCTGAATAAGTGCTCTTGATTAAAAAATAAAATTTCGTGGCGACTGAAGAGGGTGACAAACAACTCTAACCAGTGGCGGAGCCGAGATCCAACACTAGTGGGTCCTAAGTAGAAGAAGATATCTGTGTCTAGCGGTTATCAGAGACTAGAGACATTCAAATAAAATTGGTCTCACAAGCATTTTGTCGAACACATAATGTAAGATAATTTATATAGATAAAACTTCCATATCAATAAAAATTCATTACAATTTTCTTCAATCAGTCAATACCATTAATATGTTGAAATCACAATGCTCTTTATTTCTAAAGCCAAAACAAGAAACAATGTTGTTGTGTAGATTTTCTGCTCTTTGAAGTTAAACGGTGAGACACAAAACAAAAGGTAATATTGGATTAGCATATAATATGGGTATGGAGCATTAAAAAGCTAAGTTGGGTTGCAGTCATTTGCTCCCACGCACTTGGCTCCGCCACTGACTCTAACCCGCTGCACCTCTGGTGGATGCATGCCACATCGGCTACGAACATGGGGAATGGGCATGCATTGGAGGGAATCTTATACAACGAGTAGTTATAAAGGGTTGTGCTATTCTCACCTCACATTTGTATCTCATTTTGCATTTCAAGAATTTGTCCTGACACGAAATGTAAAAACAATACTTGCATCATGTTAGCGTTGCACTGACAATTGTCAAGACAAATCCTTCGAGTACAAATGTGGGACACAAATAGAATTTTCCTGATCCAAAATGTTTTACTCTCTCCATCCCCAAAGGATTTTCATAATTTGAATGACACAAATTGTGATACTCTTTGACCAAGAATTAAATATAATTTAAAATAGTTAAATATTATAAAAATTTGAAAATTTAAAATTATATTTTAAAATGAATTCAATTTTACTAAATTTACATTATAACTAAAAATATTTTTTTTCCATAATTCAGAGTTAAAAGTTGTTATATTTTGACCAAAAATGCCAAACTTAGGTGTTTTTTTAGAGGATCATGCTACACACCCCCACCCTTGCTACCAACCTTGCCTCCACCCACTTCTCTACCACATATTTATCTCTACAAATTCTCCACCCACTCTCTAGTTTTAATTTTCTTGACTTCCTACTACATATTTATGTAGGGGCATGAGTGGTAGCAAGGGTGAGAGGTTTTTAACATTTTCCTTTTTTTAGGAGGGAAGGAGTGTAATGGATTGGCATACGTGGTGGGGACATTCATTCCCAACCCCACAACTTTTCTCCCCTTCTCTCACTCACATCACCCCCACCATCTCCATTCAATCATCATCCTCATCTTGTTTAATTACCTCTGTATTTCCCCTAAATAAAGATGGCGCCCATCTCCATCTTCTTCTTCTTCTGCTGCCTCGCTAACCTTCCCTTATTAACCTTTTCCCGGACTCCGGACGTCCCTAAAGGTAATCTTACCACACCTAATTAATTAAATTATTCATAGATGGATCCAGATTTGATCATTGTTTCTTGTTAATTAATTAATTAATTAATTCTGTCTGATAATCAAATTGAAGCCCCTCCAGGTTTCCTCTTAAACTGCGGCGGAAATGAGGAGGTGGAGCAGCGGTCTCTCACCTACATCCCCGACGACCCGTTCGTCTCCGCCGGCAACAAATCGGCGGTCAAGCTGCCCCACGTTCTTCCCACCCTGACCACCGTCCGTTATTTCCCGGGGAACAAGGCGAGGAAGCACTGCTACACGCTGCCCGTGGTCAAGGGGAAGAAACTCTCGGTCAAGACGGTGTATTACTACGGCGGGTTCGACGGCGGGAAAGAGCCGCCGGTGTTCGACCAGATCATCGACGGGACGAAGTGGTTCGTGGTGGACACGAGGGCGGATTACGCGCAGGGACTGAGCTCTTATTACGAGGCAATCGTCACGGCCCACGGGATGGAGCTGAGCGTCTGCCTTGCCCGGAACGAGCACACGGCGGATTCCGGCAGCCCTTTCATCTCCGCCGTCGAGGTGGTGTATCTCGACGACGCCCTCTACAACTCCACCGATTTCCAGAAATTCGGTTTGGCCAGCCTCGCCCGACACAGTTTTGGGTCGGATGCGGATCTGATCGGGTATTTTAGGGACTCAATCATTTTGTTATTTGAATCTCAATCTCAAGCTAGGTTAATTTGTGGGGATTGGGTTTTCAGGTACCCGGAGGATCCATATAACCGGTTATGGCAACCATTCATGGACCATAATCCATCGGTGTTGAGCCACTCCCAAGTGGGGCCGGCGGCGTTTTGGAACGCGCCGCCCAAGGAAATATTCACGACAGCGTTGACAACCAGCAGAGGGAAGACGCTCACGGTCCACTGGCCGCCGTTTCCTCTCCCCAATACATATTACTACATTGCCCTCTACTTCCAGGACAATCGAACCCCGAGCCCGTATAGTTGGAGGACATTCGATGTCCAATTGAACGGAAAGACATTCTACGCCAAGCTCAACGTTACTACTGACGGTGTCACTGCTTACTCTGCAGCTTGGCCTCTCTCGGGCCAAACCCAAATCTCCTTGATCCCAAATGAAGGTAGACATACCTTATGTCTATGTTCGTTCATTTTTCAATGTACCAGAAATATCTTAAATTTTAGATGCCGTGATATGCAGGTATTCCGGTCGGGCCTGTGATCAATGCTGGGGAAATTTTTCAACTTATGCCTCTAGGAGGGAAGACCCTCACCAGAGATGGTATGTAAAAGGGATTTGATATTGTATCATATGCGCTTTATTTGAAACCAAGTGAAGTTTTGAATTTTGCCCACAAAAAAATGGATGAACAAAACAGTGGCAGCATTGGAGGAATTGCAGAAGAGCTTGAAGAATGCACCTGAGGATTGGAATGGGGATCCCTGCCAACCGAAAGAAAACGGATGGACGGGTATCGGGTGCAGTAAGGGGAAATCATTCCGAGTAGTCTCCTTGTGAGTAGTCGTTTCTTATACGTTACAAAAGAACTCTCAAGAAACGGGATTTATCTTATATTGTTTCGATCGTGGAAGGAACTTGAGTGGTTTTGGACTGAGCGGAACGCTATCTCCAAGCATATCGAAATTGACTGCATTGTCTTATATGTAAGTAGTTTTGTTGAGTATTTGTAATTAGGTTCAAGAAAGATGCTAATTACTCTCTAATAGATTGATTACGTCGTATCCAGTTGGCTGGGAGACAACAAGCTCTCGGGTGCATTGCCCGATATGAGTCCATTGAAGGCACTTCAATCTCTGTAAGCCATTAACTCTCTTCTGCAACAATTATATTTATATATTTATTCTTCAATTGTGCACATTTTGATTGGTTCTTTGAGTGTTCCTAAAAGGCATTTAGAGAACAACCAGTTTGAAGGAGCCATCCCAGATTCACTTGGCCAGCTACCGAAACTCGGAGAAGTGTGAGTTTATCTCGATAACGATCACTCGCAGCAGAGTAAAAAGTTAAGATTTCTTGGAGATATATAATGCGTATCTAATTTATCATTTCATTCTCGACAGGTTTCTCCAGAACAACAAGTTGAGCGGAGAAATCCCGGAGAGTTTGAGGAACAACAAGAACATAAACCTCGAGTACGTATTGTCACTCGTAGTAACCAATGACACATTAAGCACATATGCTTTGCCTAAAACACTCCATTTTTTTAATTCTTTCCATGTTACAGGGTTTCCGGGAATCAACTGTCGGGCTAAGAACGAAGTGGAGGGACGACATTTCAACCGATACAAGAGATCGAAGAAGATATAAGAGATCGATGAGCGTGGGTGAAGAAACGTGAGAGTGAAAAATGTGTGGTTCTTGGATTGCATGAATGGGTAATGTGAAAGGGGGGGGGGATCACAATCCTATAAATATTAATTGGATCAGTAAAGAAGTTCTTCAATGTCTTGTGTGTTGGTGTTAATTACCAAATTTTGGAAGCTAAGTTTTCTTAATCAATCCAAAGAATACCCCAACAATTGTACACTATTTTTACACTAAAGACAAACACAAATACTCGGGTATCTCCTCAGATATAACCATAAATGTTTGCGTTTGTCTTTAGCGTACAATTGTTGGGGCATGGGGAGGATTCCTCCACAACCCAAAATATGTCACATCTCAATCACTTTATGGTTTATTTTACTCTAGCTCCTTCCGGGAACTAAAATTACATTTTGACTTTAATTAAGACAAGATTCAAAGGAGTTTAATTTTCCAAGTTTACACTAAAATGATGTTGGATGTGATGTACATGGCACATTGTTGTTTGGCTTTAGTATATTCCAAAATATTGTTCTAAAACAAAACTAAAACAGTCCAGAGTATCTGAAATAAAAAAGAAAACTACGTAAGAAAAAACGTGGATCGTGTTATTATTACTAATGTTTTTGTTTGGCTGCCACAATTCAAATCTCCATCAAGATTTTGTTTTTTTTAACCATCAAAGACTATTTAGGATTAAAGCGAAGCCACATATAACGCCCTTCCAGTGGCTCATCTTTCACAATATCGTAGTTGTACCTGCACCATTGTTTATTTACCAGAAGTCTATTAAATTGCGATATATATATATATATATATATAAGAAAAAGAGTAAAACATGAATAAAACATACTCCCTCCGTCCCACAAAAAAGTTTCCATTTTGACCATAAATTGGTCAAATAGTTACTTGCTTTGACCATAAATTAAATACTAATATAAATAAAGAAATGCTAAAAAAATTTGAGATATCAAAATTAGATCCTAAGATGAATCCAATTATATTAAATTTATTTTATAATTCAATATACCTTTCTCACAATTTGTAGTCAAAGCATGTAAATATTTGACTTAGTACTATTCAAAATGAGAACTTTTATGTGGGACGGAGGGAGTAAAAAATATGGAGTATGTCAAAATAATTTTTTTTTCCAAAATAGAAATTAAAATGTAAATACAATATCAACCATACCAATATATAATATCAAAAAATATTGTAAAATGTCTATATATATAATATCACATTTATCACGATGCAAACGATCATTTTGGAGTGAAAAAAATAAATTTCTTATTTTAGTACTTTCTCTATATTTTACTTTTGTTTAAAATAATTTCTTACGAATATCTCATATCAATAAATATATTTTAAAATGTAGTCTTGATATTTTTATAATATACCCACTCCGTCTGGATATAATTTTCTCACCTTGATGTTTCTCGGTCAAATTTTATACTTTGACCCCAATATGCAGAAAAATTGTATTGCATTTTTATATAAATATAAGGAAAAATTACCCAAAATAATCCCAACTTTACTCGGTTTTTCAAAAATAATCTCACCTTTCACTGTGATGCATAATAATCCCAACTTTACTGAAATTTGCCAGTTTTGGGTCGCCGTTAAGTTTCTAACGGAGGGATAACAGAAATGCCCGTTTTAGGCAACAAAATGAAAGTTGGGATTATTTTTGATGAATTTTTGTTTTTTAATTTTTATTGAAATTTTTTGAATTACTTTCAACCTCCATTTCTTTTTCTTTTTTAAAGATTATTCTTACCTTAGAAAAAAATAGATATAAAAAATAATGAAAATAAGAAAAATAACTAAAACCATACAAAATTAATCAAATAAATAATGTAATATTTATTTTATTTCTTACCAGTTTCTGTTTAATTTCTATTGATTACATTATTTATTTGATTAATTTTGTATGGTTTTAGTTATTTTTCTCATTTTCATTATTTTTTATATCTATTTTTTTCTAAAGTAAGAATAATCTTTAAAAAAACAAAAAGAAATGGAGGTTGAAAGTAATTCAATAAATTTAAATAAAAATTTCAAAAAAAAAATAAAAAACAAAAATTCATCAAAAGTAATCCCAACTTTCATTTTGTTGCCTAAAACGGGCATTTCCGTTATCCCTCCGTTAGAAACTTAACGGCGACCCAAAACTGGCAAATTTCAGTAAAGTTGGAATTATTATGCATCACAGTGAAAGGTGGGATTATTTTTGAAAAACCGAGTAAAGTTGGGATTATTTTGGGTAATTTTTCCTAAATATAATATCAATAATTTTCCTTTGAAAATTTGTTTTGCAATATTAAATTTTTATAATATATATATATATATATATATATATATATATATATATATATATATATATATATATTTATGTACAAATATCAAAATTAATGATCAAAGTGTTATATTAAAATCCATAAAAAGTCAAATTATAAGTACAAATCCACACAAAGAGAGTTAATTTTTGCACATATAAAATATTAATTATCAAAAATTTGTAGTAGAAAAAAGACATGACACCAAAAGAGTAAAAAGTAATTTTGTGCTTACTGTTCTGCGAATCTTTTTTGTACGCACTTTTCCGCGGCCGAAAAGAACTCGTGAACCTCGGCAGACGGCGGTGCATTGGCGGCATCTGGTTTCCGACCAGGAGAATCCGCCGGCGGCGGCGGCGGTTTCGCGTTCGCCGATGAAGGCCACTCCATATTGTGCTAATGATGAATGAACGAATGTTATAAAAAAACCGCAAATTAATTATCCTAAAATATATACGGGCGAGCGGAGTGGGATTTATTACTGTCTATCAGTTACCAAACTTTATCTTCGCTCTGAAAAAATGAACAGACTTATCGGAATATTTATTACTCCCTGTAATTCAGACAGACGTGATTGCGAAACCGCTGTAATTTCTCGTCATCTGTTTTCGCCAGCCACCAGAGTGCCACCTCCTATCGCCAACGCTAACCGGTGGTCCGCTATCTAGCGGTTGACTGATCACACTTTCATCTATTTTCCATATCACACTGCTGAGTGCCACCCCGAGAATATGAAAAAAATGAGATTCGCCTTGTGCAAAGTTTACTTGTTGGCCATCTTTTTTTTAGAGTACTTGCACTTTAAAATTATCATTGACTTTGATTTTTAATAACCACTTTTATAACAATTTAAATATTAGAATATATATTTATATTAAATTTTAAAATAACAAATAATTAGAATAATGAAGATTTAAGGCCCTAAAAGTTTGGAGGCTCTGTACGAGTGGATACTTTACACATCCTTCACTTTGTCATCCCTCTAATATTTCTTTTTTGAATTTCAAGATTTTTTTTTTGAATTTCAAGAATTTAGACTTTCTATTTTAGTGTTTTCATAACTTTTTACTTTGATCGAGAGAGAATTAGTTTCATCAAATAAATAAGAGAAGCAAAAACTGACATTGATTTTCTAAAAATACCATGGATATTTTTGTAAAATTAATCATGATTTTAAGAAAATAACTTTTTTTTTCAAAAATCATTTCTCAAGAGTCACTTTCAATTATAAATCCCCAACCAATTTTATCTAGGAAAATTTACTGAAATATCATTAAAATATAATGACTTTTCCTAAATAGCATCACATGTGTTTTTTTTCAATGTAGCACTTTTAGTCATTATTCATTAGTCATTATTCAAGTAAATGTTCGCCATCAATGGACATTATAGACATTATTAAGTGATATTCAGGGAATAAAACAATTTAAGTATTAATTAGGAAAATGACTTAACTTTAGTGCTATTTAATGCAAATATTTCTTTTATCTAAACAATTCACAACATCATCATCAACGAACTAAAACTAAGTAAAATCTAGCAAAAACAAAAAAAAGTTAACATCAAAACATCAAATTAATAAAAGAAAATAAATCATTATTCAATTATATTATTCATTTTCAAAACCCAAAACACAACATATTATTCAATTATATTATTCATTTTCAAAACCCAAAACACAACATACATAATATAATCTGTCCCATAGGTTTACACATATAAAAAAAATCAAAACTAAGCACTATTACTATGTGGGTGAAAAAAAGATGCCAACTTTCTAAGCATAGCCATAGCATTCTCACACATTGGATTTAACAAGTTGAAAATATGAGATTCTCCCTTAACCTCCACAACCTCAACCTCTCCTCCCCACCCAACCCCATCCAATGCCTCTTTGTAAAGCCATCCCCTATGCTTACTTGGGTCTTTCTCAGCTACATATATTATAACCCTCTTACAACCCATTTTCCCAAGTTCCGGGTCCTTTCCCGGGTTTATGTTCGGGTCGTCCATCCCTGTTGCGGTGGGATGGGCCACCCGCCACATGTTCTCCAGGAAAGAACATATCAACTCGTGTTCTCCTTCATCTCCGATCCTGTCCGTGCCCCAGAAACACGGGCAGTTGAAGAATAGCCCCTCGAGTTTGACTCGGTCAACGTTTCTGCCAGACCCGGCTCGTACTGCCAGATTGTGCGCTATGTTGGCGCCCACGCTATCGCCCCCGAGGAACACGCGGCTAAAGTCCGCGTGCTCCCTCAACCACTCATCCTCCGTGTTGTTGGCGACCCACTGGAGGGCCACCCACGCGTCCTCGTACGCCGCGGGGAGAGGGTGCTCCGGGGCCAACCGATAATCGACCGACACGATTACGATCCTAGCCTCCGACGCGAGCAAATTTAGAGGCGTTTGGTACATCGGAGAGAAGGCCGACTCGGTCACCAAGCCACCACCGTGGAAGTAGATCAGAAGGGGAAGTTTCCGGCGGCCAGCAGTTTCAGGCAGGTATAGCCTGACCGAAACTCTGGGCGCCTGGGAGATCTCGATGTCTTTGGACTGCACTCCGGTTCCGGCGTCAAACCCGGCCGGAACGATGTCGGTGCCGCATAATCTTTCCACGCGGCCATCTTTGTAAACCTTAATGAGGGGGAAGAGATTATAGAGTACATCGGAGGAGTGTGAAATATCTCCCATTATGTTGAAATTATTGATGAAATTTAACGTTGAGGGCATAGAACATATTTATAACTCCCATTATGAGATGAAAAAAAAAGTACACATTTGATAACCTAACACTATTTTATC